GGCCACCGCTAGTCGGTTCATAATAATATCGTCTTATCGCAAGCTTGTATTGACATGTTATTTGGGTTTTCTGTATGGGATTAATTCAAGATAGGTACTCCAATGTCGAAGTTTTCTGCGTTCAAAAATCTTTTATCCGACAATCGTCGATTTTTTCGTTTTAAAATATTATGCATACCTACTTAAATTATTACCTAATAAGGCAATATACATTAGTAAGGAAACATTTCCATAGTATGTATTTGCTTACCTAATTCAATTTCCTTTAATGGTAGAAAAAAAAATTACGAGTTAAAATTTTAAATTACAAAACTATATCAGTTCGCCATCCCCCTTAAATAGTTTCAGATCCACAACTGTGCTATATACAGTCAGAATCCAAAAAAAAAATTGTAATTTATCCCTTGCGGGCTTGTGCACATCCTATATTGGTGTAAAATGGAAATTCCTAACATTTAGGTACACGTAATCAAGTTTGAATGTTACATAAACGGTCTGTAACTATTGGTCTACAATTTATGGAGGAATATTATGAAGATCAGTTGGACAGAATAGAAATCTAATGCGGAAGTGTTAAATATGATGGATGGACCCAGACAAATTATCAAAACGACGGGAATAAGAAACATTAAGTTTGTTAGATACATTATGAGACATAACATGTTTATTACAAATATTATGGAAAGGAAGATAAATGGGAAAAGAGGAAGAGACCGGCCGAGGGAAACAAATTCGGGGAATGTGAAGAAGCTACTATCTCTATAGCAAGTTACGACGAAATGAAAAGATTAGCAGATAAAATAGAGGACTGGTTGCGAAGCCTTTAGACAATATGAAAAAAAAAAAATAAATGTAGGAAAACTAAAGAGATTGAGAGGCTAAATTCAATTTCCCACGTTTGGACTAATTATAAAAAACGATTATACGATAAACCTACATTTAAAAAAAAAAAAAACCCGTGTAAATATTTTACTACCGCGTATTATGCAACGTCATCGAATATATTAATGTATACCTAATATAATAATATATCCGTGTGTACACTACCTTACACACGTTTATAATGTAAAATGTTCGTGTTAAAACACGCGTTTCTAATTTATTCGCTTTTAGCCGTTGATGATAATTAATAATTTCTCGGGTACGCGAAAAGGCGTATCGAAAAACACCATAATTATGTAGAAATACCTTTCGGACATAATTTACATAACTTACCGGTCATCGGTAATAAATATCTAAATTTACACGCAGTTCACGAGAACGACCTTTCTGATCGGGTTCGGCCCTTAAAATACCATATCTCTTATATAAACACGAAACCCTTCACTTATCCACGTTCCACGTAGCTTCCCGTCCATCGGGTATCCGGATCCACTACTGAATAAATGCCGTTTCTTAACGCAATCTTCCCTCCTTACACTTTAAATGTCCTTATGAATGCATTTTTCCTAAAGGCGTCTTCTTCAAACGCCTGTCTAACTCCCACACAACAAAAAAATAATTCCATAATATGAACAAAATATTTTTAGGAAATTGTTAAAATTTTAAAAATATTTTCGATTATTGTTAAATAGTGGTGTAAATGTTATCGAAAAATGTTTTGCCCAAATAGTTCATGTTAGGAAAATATTTTAGAATAACTTTCATCAAACATTTTAATCTCATATTTCTAAAACGTTCAATATTTATATTTTCTTGGAAACATTTTTTCAAATATTAACAAAACATTTTTATAAACCACATACTTCATAAAATATTTTGTTATCATGAGAATAAAATATTTATACAATATTATTAGTGAAATCTTTATTATTTAACCACTTCAAAATATTTATGAAATATTATCATTTCTCAAATGCTGTCGGCTGTGTGGGCTGTTTATGCCGTGCATCATGGCTACCCACGTCAGTATTTTTGTATTTTGTTTTGTTATGTCACTAACCAGTAGCGCAGAAGTCCTGAAAATGCAGTCGAGCAAAATATACATTTCAAGAGGCTACAATAACTAAACACAGCCCATTTTGCGTGCGAAATTATGGCTGGCGCAGGTTTTTGTATCTGCAATGATAAGCAGTTATTCGGATTGGCAGCCAAACTTTGGTCCGAAACGAAGCGGCCCAATGATTCATTTTTAAAAGGAGTCGGGTCAAGGTCCGACCTTAACATAAAGTTCGGAGCCGCTGTCACTGACTGTGCATAACACGGCCTTCGGCACTGAATTTGATTAATTTAAAGTTTATTATTATATTATGTATATAATGTACTGCGACGATTCGGCCATATAATATTTTCCCATCAACGAAAACCGCTTATATAGCCGCACTAAGTACCTACTAAAATTGCGCATTACTGTTTATGCATCCGAACGGATATAATATGCACACAATCTAAGACGAGCCTCGTTCATACGATGACACTGATGTGTCGCGACATTAAGTAGCACGATACTGTTCGAAATTAACGTCACGACGTAAGGTGTCGGTGTGCTGTATTTTAGTGGCGCGACGCAATCGATTAGACAATCTGTTATCAATATTGTGTTACTTGATACCGTGCCACCGCGTCTATGTCGTGTTACTATAGTCTGGTTAATTTTCGATTTTACGATACGATTAATTTGTTGCAAACAAACGATAAACGAATTCATAACGTAGCAATTAAAAATGTCGCACTTTCTTTTTTCTATACGTGTGTTCGGGCAATGTTATTGGCCAACAACAACTCAAATTGATAACAGCGTCACAACAGTGCTGAATAACAAACGTTTCCGATCCGTAACGCTAGAGTCAGAGGGCTTCGTGACGCCGAGATACGATGTTCAGACGTGATGACACTAAATGTCACGGTATCGAGTGTCATGCATTAGTGTTCATCGCGAAAATCCAACAAAATTGTTTTTTTTTTTTGATATTTGTTTAAACAACATTGTTGTTATTATTATTTTTTTGTTCTAGTGAATAATTACGAAAACAAATAATTTTAAAAAGTATCGTTATTCAGAAACGGATAAATTATCAGTGGTTCGTAATGCTCCGAATCCGAAATGCTTTATTTATATCAGAACATTACGGCACTAACCAGCACGTTGCGTATAATTATTACCAAAGTAAACAAAATGATAAATTTCGGATATTTAAATTTTAAATATTCGTAAAATACGTTGAACGAACATGTTGCGTTTTCGGAACAAAGGGCCGGTATAGTGTAAATACAACGTTATACAGAGAATCTAAAATACGCATTCTAATACGGTTGTTTTTTTTATTTATATTTCTGTACAGAATGGTACGATCGTAAAACACATTTATAGAAAACGGTTTTTTTTTTCTGACCGACCGATAAAAATATAATGTGAAAAAGCTGAAATGCATATAAATGTCTGCCCTACTTATCGCCTCGGATTCGGTCACAATGTTTTCGTATAAACCGACAGTATAAAATTGTACGCGTTTACGCGCCGATGTGAATTTTTATTATCGTCAGAACGCATTTGAACTTCGCAGACGGTACAATAATATTTCCCAGTTATATATAATTCTGCAAAATATGCAGGATGCATCTGTAATTGCAAAACACTCCGCAAACCGCACGCTCTCGATCTATAATAAATAATAATTATAAAAAAAATAAAAATAAAAAAAAGGAGCGGGAAGGAAAACCACGACTGTACAGTCGGAAAAAGGGATTTAATCTTAAACCCACACACTGGCTACAAACATGTACCGATGTTCCTTACAGAATATATAATATTATACACTGTTTACCGCGTTTTTATAAAGAAATATGTGCGTATAAAATTATGGCACAGGTACAGCAGCAACTTCGTTAATAATGATACAACGAAATCCCACGAGCATACGATAAAATATAATATAAAATCTCTGATCTGTATTACGTAGGCGTTAACTAAAACGAAAACGACACACTGTCCGGTTTACATTAATATTGTGAACGCACGCAGATTGTAACAGGACTATACACAGAGGGACAAACGAAGTCACGGTAACATCTATCCCGCACGGAACGGCGGTTTCTAAACTTAAACCAGCGTCCGTCTTCGTTTTTTCCCCCCGATTTGATCACTGACACGACGCAGATAATTTTTATGCTTATTACGTTTCCTCTCTACAATGTTTTGAAATCCTGGTAGTTTCACCGTGAATGAGCATAGAGCAAAGTCGTCACGCTCAAAACGGCCTTCCCGTAAACCCAGGGCCTAAAATACGTCTGATTTCAGGGTGAATACTTCTTAATTCAATTGTAACTTCGATCAGGTTTCCATAGCAGAAAAAAAAAAAAAAAACCTGTGGGAGTTGTAACACCCAAAATTATCCCCCCCCCCATTATATACCGCTTACCTTACACATTTATATTATTTACACGACGTTAAGACTAAAAATATTCAAAGTAAATGTAAGCCAAAGTTCGAAATGTTTTACCAAAAGCTACACGGACATACCGTCAGGACAATAATCGCTATATTAAGCTGTCGTCGAAAATTCTAGATTACCTGCTCACCTATAGTAAATAGTATATTTGTAGACACAAGGTATATTCACGATTAACGCTAGTACATATTGGTTATATAATATTTATAACCGTCAACCGTGGTCAAAGTTAATGGTATATTTATATAATATTGATGGCAAGGTAGTTGTTATCAATTAACACTGTGACGAACAGGATTCATTCGTGTTGAAATTCCAAATTGTTATTTCTACATTTAAAACTAAAAACACGTTATAAAACTGGACGCGCATTTATAATTCAGGGTACATTGTGATTTCAGGGGGGGGCACAGTATTTTTAGGCCCTTGCGTTATAGTTAGTGGCGAGATTGCGCAACAAGTAACATGTTACAATTAGTGACGGGAAAAATCCGGATATTTGCCGAAGTTCCATAATCCGGGTTTTCGGCGCCCGAAATTGTATTGAAAACCGAGATTTTGCATTCTTTTAGGCGTGTTTCGTGCGTTTCAAAAGCCAATCGTAATAATCCCGTTATATGCGGAATCGGAATAATTATCGTATTTCGAAGTCGGAGAATTGAAATGTTTTTCAGATCACTGTGTAAGTCGATTGAATTGTTTTTGAACGGATCGGTTTTCGCGTCTGCCGGGATTTCGTCCGCAATGCGTTACTGTTGTACGCGGCTATTGAATATTGTCGGGTGTGCGTGTGACGTCCGCTCGCGGATCCGTCAGAACAAACGTACAAACGACCGGTCGGACATCTTGCCGTATCATAAATATTGCGCGTTCGCCGAGCGAAACGGTTTTGCTAATTACGTTTGCGTTCGTAATGTTTTTGTTATCCCGCGGGCGTTCGATTCAATCACATCAATCGGTGTAGGCGTACGCGAATAACGCGGACGGGGCGGCAAACGCACGACGCATAGGCGGGGTAGTACACGCGTCAAATATTAATACGTTACGGCGGGACGTAAGTAATGTTTTACAACAGAGTGTGTTTTAATTATGAAATTCCTTAATCAACACCGGCAAATTAAATTCTACACTTTGAGCGCTACGGAAGAACAATCTTTGGAAATTATTCGCGACGATATATTATTATTATTATTCCGCTAATTAAATTGTTCCACCTTTGAGGTTTGTTCGCGTACCGCGTCTTTGGAATCAAATTTCCGTTGCGTTAAGAAGTAGATTAGTATGTTACACGCGGGAGTGCCGGTACGTCGGCGGCGGGTGCGGGCGCGGTGTTGCGGGCGGCCGCGGGTACGTCTGCGTCACGTTCAAACGCGGTCACTCGTAAACTCCCGTGCGCAATTTGATTGGTCTAACTCGAAATTTATTGTACGTCCGCGCGCTGTTGTTTAAACTATCGTCAATATTGCCGCTGTTAAAATCAACCCCCCACCCCCAACCCCCCGCGGTGTTTTTTACGCGGTGCGGTGTGCGTGTTCCACCACCACCACCCCCCCTCCCTCCCACCAACCGCTATGCGTGGCATCCGTCCGACGCGAGAAGTGAAAAACAAACGCGCGCAAAGCGATACGGCGCCCCGCTGTCCTGCGCGCGCGCGCCCGAAGTCCGTTAGCCCGACGACGGGCGGACCGGTCCCGAGTTTTAGAAACCGGAACAATTTTGTTTTTTTGCCGCCGCGCAAACGGCACTCCGACCCGAACATGAAACCGGAACGTCCCGTCGACGGCTCGACGGAAATCGGGAATTTCACCCGCAAATGCATTGTATTTTAACCGACACTCCATCTGCGTGCGGACCGAACGCGGGTCGCCGTAAGCAGACGGGGTGGTTTTACATCCGAAAATAACGGCGACGAGAACTATACAATTGTAGAGCGGATTGTTTCCTAAAACGTTCTGGCAAACGAATTCCGGGAACAGCTAACACTTTCCGAAATAATGAACGGCGCCCACTTGAATGGATCACCTTGTACCAAATAGGTTCAATAATAATTAATCAATCAATAAATGATCGCCCCTCATGATGCGCTTCCTATACCCGCGTTCACGGTGTAATGCTAATAACGTGCACGTTGGGCGAGTTCGGTAATTAGGTATTAGGTAATTGCGTATGGCATGAACCTAATGATTATACTTGTTTTGTAGATTATCAGTTATGATAACCGAAAACGTATTGTATTAAATACACGTACAACTACTCGGTTTACCTTACGGTTACAAGGAGCCTTTCTTCGACGGAAACGGGTTTTTGCAAATTTGTCGGGCCACAAATGCAATCGGGCGTTATTTTTTCTGCGATCGCTGTAGTCGATCGCGTCTACGGAACTTACGGACATCCTACAGTATATGTTCAAAAACAAACCGGCATTGCCGCGTGATTTCCCGTACAGATGGCGGGATCCGCCGAAAATAAAACGATCTATACAGATCTGTTGTATTGGCAAACGTTTTTTTTTTTTTTTTTTTTTTTCATACTTTAAAAGTGTCTAACTCGATGTACGTACATTCAGAAAATTTTAATAAAGTAACCGTTCCTGAATTTGAGTTAGCGATACGATAATAAATTATGATTTCGCTTGGGGCAATGTACTCTCGAACTGTCGGCGATGGACTGACGAGTTAGATAATGTTGTAAAACCGTATACATCGATGTGGACGACATTACTGCGATGCCCGCAATATCGCATTGACGGACGCCACTTAAGGACACGGCGAGAAATACGCGAATAAACAAAACGGTATAGACCAGTGGCCAACTACGGCCCGCGATTATTTATTCATCGGCCGACCATGGTGTTAAAACGAAAATTGAAAAAAAAAAAAGATGATAATATCATGTTTATACTTTACGTTTTTTTCTCATTTATAAATAATGACAATCGATTAGCGAAAAATAATCAAACATAACACATTAATCTTCAATCAAATTTAATATCCTATTAATTCGAAAATAAAATTTTTAATTCTTGGCGGGCCAAGAATTATTATTATTATGTATATATTTTTTTAATAGCTTTCTGTAAAAAAAATTGATTTGATTGCTGCCGGTGTAGACGAAACGAGAGATGCGGTCAACTCGTTTGGAATATTATTATCGCAGCGCAAAGCAGTGATTTCGGCTTTGTACCCGCTTGCCGTTGATATTTTAAACGATATTTATACGATTTCGTTTCCGGATTCGAGGTTGGTCAAGTAACACTACCACAAACCCGGAGGTGAAGCAATTGAATCATTCGAGTTGGCTTTGTTAGTAATATATAATATTTATCGTTTGACGGTCGATAATCTTTGTTAAAAATTAGTTATCATTTGGGTACGACATACCATTTTAAACGAACACGGTAAAGGTTAGCATAAAATTTCGTCAAATTTCGTATTGAACTGAAAATAAAATAAAAACATCCATGCGCAAGTATTTGTTGGTCATGTACGAACATTTTTTACGAGAAAAAAATTGCAAAAAATTATCCTCCCCGGCGGGGAATCGAACCCCGGTCTCCCGCGTGACAGGCGGGGATACTTACCACTATACTACCGAGGACTGTGACTACGAACGACGAATTATGTGAATATAAATATTTATTTTTTCACTGAATATGATCTTTTTACCGCAAGTCTTAAGATACCTTACACAGGGTGATCAACCTATATGAATAAATATTATGGCACATTCTACATATTGTGTGAATATTAATTTATGATAAATTTATTACAGAATATTTAGTCACAGGCATTCCCAGTTCTCATTGATCAGTAGTTATTATTATTTGAACGGAAAATGTCTCGATTCGAATATAATTATTTCGAGAAATAAANGAATATTCAATACAATCATTATATTTGGAAAAAAATAATTGCAAAAAAGTTCCCTCCCCGGCGGGGAATCGAACCCCGGTCTCCCGCGTGACAGGCGGGGATACTTACCACTATACTACCGAGGATTGTGATTACAAACGACGAATTTCACGAATCTAAATTAACGTGTTATAAATTCGGAGCATAATCGGTACCATTTCTATCATAACATTTTGCTTCAATCGAACAATAACAAATTGACATGATACTTTGTAGAGGATAATGAATCTAGCCTGATCGCTTATTATTTCGAAACGTATTAAATTATTCCAGAATCTGTTTTATAAAATATTTAAGAAATAAGCAACTCTACAATTTTACTTTTATTATTTTTTGTCATCCTCATTACCTACTTTGAAGACCATAATATAATATTATTGAAACACGTTCAAACTTTTGATTTTCAAATGGCAACCTAAATTAAAAATTCCACAAACAAATGGAGTATTAGTTGAAATAAATGTTGGTGTTTTCGTGAATTTCTCAACTGCTAGTTAGATCTATCTAACAATGAAAGTTAGGTTGCCTTTTGAAAATCAAAAGTAAGTCGAGGTTTCACCCTTAAAAATAAGGGCGACAAAAAATAACATGAAAGTATAATTGTAGAGTTGCTTGTTTCTTAAGTCTTCTATAAAACAGATTCCCAAAAATGTAATTTCTTTCCAAAATAGGTAATGAGTGTTTTATAATAGATTTATCACTCTGTATATGTTACATTTTGGATCTAGTTGATGTATTTTTGACTTTCCATGAGTTTTTTTGATTATAATTAAACAAAAACGACAAAATTCGTAGAAAGAATGCAAAAGTTTACTGAAACAGCGGTTACGTTATTTTAAATTGTGTTTTAGATTCTAAGCGAAACAATGATATATTTTTCCCGTAGACAATTTTTCTCCAATATTCAAGTATAGCTCCTTTCCGAAAAGAAATTTTATCTGAGTAGTACTTTAAAAAGGTGATTTTTTTTTATAATTCCCATGCAGATTTCATAACAATTGGGAAATATCGCAGGAAACAGGACAATTTACAAAATGTATTATTTATAACTTTTTTTTTTTATGTAAATCAGTTAAAAATATTCGTAAATTATTGAAATTGGGACAGAAAATGTTGGCACTTTTGTACGATATCGATTTTTTTTTCTTCTGGTTCTAATGGCTACGGCTACATTAGAGCCGTTTGCGATCCGATTCGACATTTGGACCAGTTGGAAGAAAAACAAAACCGTGTACACTATCGGTGGTGGCTATACTTATCCAATTTGATCGTTTCCGACGAACCAACTAGTCGGATACGTCGGAAAAGAAACGAATCGATTTGATTTTCTTCCAACAAGTTGGACAAAATTAGATTATTTGGGTTAAATAATCGATAATTTATAATCAATAATCATACGTTTTTATGCTTATTCGGACATATTCTTTTAACTTATCAGGATATTATTGAAGTTTAATAAACGTCTTAAACTATTCTCCATTATAAAATCTTTTAATAAACTATTCGCCCAACAGGACCTTGTATTATTTAAATATAATATGTTACTATCCAGTAAATCGTCCTATTTGTCTTCTGAGCTGTTGAGACCTTAATACATATTGAATAAAAAGCACCAATGCATATGTGAACCCTGTCACTATGTGATATATACTAATAAGTGTACAGAGTTTAGTACGGAATTTTATTTGTCTTTTCTAAACGTGGTAAAATTTTTAAATTTGTTGAGCTCTTTATGGGCATTAGATATACATTTTCTTGTTTTTTTACGTAGTTTTTCTTAGCTAAATACTGTGTAGATAAAATCGTTTGACCGAACAGAAATGCTTGAGAATTTAACACGAGGTTCATTATAAGTTGTACTTAGTGGTAAAAAATAAAGGTAATCTTTTCACTGCAGCACACTTTAAAATTTGAACAAAAGTCTAGAATATTTTTTTGACATTTTAATATTTTTTTTCAACTTATTCATAAAATTAATTTTATGATAATTATCATAATAAAAAAAAAATGAATTAGTAGTTTTTATAATTAGTTATAAACATTTTTTAATTATACTGTAAAAAGGTTTTAACATTTGCATCGATAAAATGTTCAATGAATATTGTTATAAATAAGATCTAAAAATGTAATTTTTTAAAAATTTAATCTATTAAAAATACCATTATTACACTATGAATAATAGATTTTATTTATAATATAAATGTGTTAATATTATACGGCTTAACAACTAAACAAATTACACATTATCAAGTACAATATTAACTGATAACAACATTTTAGTGTATTCTGAATTAAAAGCAAATATTAAAATGCATGTAATGTCTTTAGATAATATTATAACACCGTTTTTTATTTTTTTTTTATACAGTTTGATACGTCTTTGGAAATACTATAAATTAGCTGTTATCATTTTTTCGTTAGACAATCATATTTTAATAAAAACGAGTGAACGGACATGTACGTCAACGGCATTGAAATATTATTTTATTTTTTTTTTTATATAATCGTATTGAGATGGAATTTCGATGTAAATCGTAAATATTACGGCATTTCAAAACATATTTGAACGAACTTCGTTCTGAACCGTTTTTACATTAATTTAATTATTCTGTATTTCTTACCTTTTAATCCTAATATCCAATCCATAACAATGATATATCGATCGGCATTATCGGCACATTTCTTAAACTTTTATCCAACTAATTTCAACAATTATCTATTGTGAAGAGTGGCAAAAATATAAGTACTCGTAAAACAGAATATACGCAAAACACGGTTTGTTCATAAAAGCCGTTAAAATTGCCTACACGCAACCCCTTAAATAACTGGTAATTTTTTCGTTTGAAAAGATATACAGAGAGAAATAGGCATACGTCTTTAAATATTACGCGGAGCTAACACGCGAAATGTTAACTACGAATTTCGTTTAGTTCGGAAGCCGAACATGACCGCCGACAAATTTTCTCGAAACGTAGTCGACCTACGTGTAAACGAACTATTAAATCGCTGAACAGCGAATACGGCAGTTAAGTTAGTTTTCGTTTAGTTGGACAGCGGGATCTGCGATTCGACGGCCATCATCTATGCGTATACCTGCCAGAGCTAAAGCCGATTTTATGGGCCAACTCACTATAGTGCCTGATACCTACTGAAAACTGTCGCGTTCCGTGATTTCGCATCGCTAAGACGTATTTTTTTCCCCGTATACAACACGCCGTTTCGCGGCATAAAAATATATAGTAAATGGCCGTCAAATTTCGGATTTGTGATTTTAAACCGTGTCATTTCGACGTGCAATAACTTACATGTATTTAAGTACTGGACGTGGTTTACAAATTCTGAAAAAAAATATCGATAATAACATTACTATCGTTTTTATCTTCCCCAAATGAAATTTGCAATCCGTATTAAATATACGCATTCTATTATACGATAAGTAAACGCGATGAAATTTAAATTTAAAAAAAGCGGGTGACGGGGTGAATTTCGGGGAGGCCGCAGCGTTCCGCGTGGCCGTGTGCGTACCGTATACCCGTGTAGAATATTATACAGAACCCTCCAAGACCTCTAGTATCATAATTACAAATTAATTGCCGGTTCCAAAAGACCCCTGGACGCAAAACTCTATCCCCGCTTACCCGATGAATATAATTTGCGAACAAACAACGATGCGTGGTAAACGGGCGCGTATAGCGTTTGAAATAAAAATCCGATTACGAAAAATCGAATACCCTAGTTCGAATATTCGGACTATGTAATATTATTATAATATTAATACGATTATATTATATACTTTATCGACATTGTAAATACACAAAACAACTATACTATAGCTGTTCATAGCCAAATGTGTGAGATAGAGTAGGGAGAGAGAGAGAGAGAGAGAGAGAGAGAGAGTGTGAGAGTGAGAGAATAATGTGATGATACGCGACCGATTCGTGATTAATTTCAATTACTTTTCGTATCATAACATGCAATACATTTCATGACAAAAACAAATAATTCCGGTTAATCAATCATAATAATATATTCACCTATTGGCTTCGGATTCACTCGTATGTTATTAAGTCAATTATTCGTAGTTGTATTGTTTTAAACTTTTGCGATACGGCACGCAGAGCCGGGCACTAATTAGTTAGAAAGTCAGAATTTATAGTTGAGTTTAGAACATTTTCGCCGGTTCCTAACTATATTTATAAACTCAATTGGTCGTTTTAAATTCCGAATGACGTTCTCACTTAGCGCGTTTTACTGGATAAATATGAAAATATAAAATATTCTGATCAAAAAAAAAAAAAGTAGGTAGCCCCTCCCCAACTTGTTTTTCGGTTAGTTTAGTATTTTCCCAAAATCTTTATTTCAATTTCCAAACATTCAAATTTGATAATAAATTATGTAACATATTATGTATATGGAACCCAGACGATAACTGCACATAAATTATCAGTGATAACGTTATATGGTTATAATTATTTATAACGGATTATTCTAACGGCGTAGATAACCGCCGTCGCGATGATGAAATTACACAGTTTAATTTTTTAGGAAACACGCGGGTTTTTAGATGATCGATTAAAAAACAAAAAAATTCGACCTAATTTTCAAGTTGTTACTAATGAGTTATTGTTTTCGCCGAAAAATGTCTAACTTAGTTGAGTAAGACGTTTTTTTTCGCATATAAAAATCAACGTCAAATCTAATTTTATCGTTGTTTTTACTACACATTTATTCTTTTTAGTTAATTTATTATATTTTTAGTAACTTTACCAGCTTTGCTATGGTTGTAAATATATCAAATTAAACGAGAGATACGCGCATCTTTCGTATACTTTCGCATAGTATTTATTATTACTTTTTTTTTTTTGTGTGTGTAACTGCAGTAATATATTACTATTATTATTGCATTTTATATTGAATTTCGTTAGTGTGCGATAAAAGGTTTAGAAGTTATTTTTTTCCTCTTATTTCCGTACAACGTTTTGTATAATATAATATATAAATCGAGAGTTTCGCTTGGGGATTGAATATCGTCCGTTTTTATTAAACAAGAACCGTACCGTTGTCTTGACTTGTGTGTGAAATTCCTACGGACATAACTGAGATAGTTTGATCACGCCCGTAAATACTGCAGTTTAAACAAAAGTATAAGAAACGTTCGTTGGAAATTAACAGAATGTATATAAAATAAATCCTCGCGCCGGAAAATAGGTCACTGTGAAGATTCGGAATCGTAAAACTTTAGTCGTTGATTAAAAAAGAAATAATACAAGGATGCTCTTCGAATTGGATTCAGTGTGCGACGAGTTCCGGGCCGATTATTAAAATATAAATAAATCAATAAAAATATATTGAATTATATAAAATAAATCTTTGAGTTTCCAACTGTTCATCTGGTATACATTTTATTTTGTATTTGATCAACAAATTTATTTATTTTCTTCTTTTTTTTTGATAAATTTGCAACGGAGATATTTGAGATTTAAAACATGGGTAATTGTTTTAAAAACAAAAACGTACGAGTGAAAGGAGAGAAATTTTTTAAAATTATTGTAAATACAAGATAATACCGTTAGACAATATTTTATAACGTCTGAATTCTCCCAGAATAAAATTCACTCAAAATCTCCGTATGTATAGTTAATCGTAGCTGATTCGTGGTACACATTATATAATGTAATCTTCCTGTATACTCGTTATTCGATATTATAACTATTCAAAACTGTTCAAAATAATATCACGTCGCGTGACTATTACTTTAGCGCCCTTTCATAAAAAAAAAGGTTTTACGATACTATGGAATTTTGAATTTCAACGATTTGAGTCCCTGTTGATCGAGTGTTTTATCGTTGTCCGTTGGTTGAGGTTAATATTCAAAAAACCCAAACATTTTACCATGGCCCACTGCCTCTCTTAAATTGAGATGATCGAGTCGAATCAAAAAAATATAATGGTCAAAATGCAGGTCAAAAAAAAGTTCTGAACAAGTTTTTAAAACAATCAATTTCCTTCTCACTTACAGGCTTAGGTCTATAATTTTTTAATCATTGGTGTCGTTAAAATTTAAAAATATTAATGTTTTTTTTTTTTTTTTAATACCGGAAATTTGAATAATTTAAGTATTAAACGCCTAAGCGTCAACTTTAGTTCCATGTTATTTCAGGCGAAATGCAAAGTAACAATTATTTTTAAATTTTATTCTTATATTGACTAGATACTGTGTAAAATTCGAAGTTATTTTACGGAATACCTACACGGTTTTATGTAAAAATTATATTATTTTATTCCACTTGTTCATTCATTTTGAACGTAATATAGAAATTCAATGTAATTTAAAAATCTAGAGTCTTTTATCTAACAATATTTTTATTTTATTGGCTTGGTTTTCGAGATTATCTTTGGCCTTTGATCATAAATAGAAGGGATTTTCATTTTTTTAAAATTTTTTCATTAATTATATATATATATTTTGGTCTATAATATCTTGTTTAAATTCAGTTGAGTTTGGTAATGCGTTTTCTCTTTTCTTAGGATCTTTGATATTTTCATCAATCTCATCATTTTCGAAATATTCTTCAGTAATTATATCTCCGTAATTCACCACACTAAAATAGTTAAAATATAATATATTTATTGTACATAAATGAAAATATTTTATTATTAGAGAACTATATTACTTTTTAAGTATGGGTCTCATACAGGAATATCTTTAAAACGAATTTTTACATTTCATTTTTCATACGGGCTCGGTGTTTTCGCTCAAATTTTGAACTTGTTTTACTACTGTTTCCTATATTATTGTGGTTGTACGTGAAAAAAAACTACTTCAAATTAAGAGATAAATCATCATTCGAAGGAAAAATTATACATGTCACAATGAGTGTAATTTTCGTACATTAATATAATATTATGAAAATGAATAGCTATTATGATTTTCAAATTTAATTTTGTTAAAAAAAATACATAATACATAATATACTTGATCAAGCTCCGAACAGACTATCGTATTTTGCATTTTCAATAATATTTTATCGTTGCATTTTCCGTAGGATTTAAATTAAATTATTCAATAATATTATACCTTTACGACTATGTATCGGATTTTGTATTATTTTTTTTTTTTTTTATAATCTAATTGAACTCAATTCACAGAGGAACGATACATCAATTTATTCGTATTCACAGCGATCTATTCTGTTCATAAACCGAAAATGTTTTTTTCCCCCCTCCCGGTTAATTGTGTATGTATACGAATGCACATGAATATATTGGACATTGGCGGATGTCTGAAGGGAAGGGAAGGTGGAAAATTGGCGGATCGTCCCTTGGGGTTTTCATCACCATACATACATTAGTGTACCCTATTGATCAACATTTGTTCTAGTTACATTGGTATATTTTAATATTTAAACAAATATGGTAAGTATAAAATACCTATGCGTATGAACCGTTCGATTATGGAAAAATTTGAAAATGAGCGCGTTCAGAAATTTTCGACTGGTTTTAGCCATAGATGTTTTTAAATTAAAACCGCCATAGTTTGAATATTTTCCGTAACGATTAGAGTAATCGATTTTCAACGAGGATAACGGGAAAAGTTGAACTCCATCCTGAAATTCCCTCAAAACTGGGATAAAACCGTCACTAATATTACGGGATAATATTATCCGCTCTCTCTTTCGGTTTTCAATCATAAAGTCATTTCGGTAGTTTCCCATTTTTTCTCCATTCTTCTCTATCGTTAGCTAGCCTCTTCGGTTTTCCGCGGTCAGTCAGTTCACATAATACAACCAACTGTACAATGTTCTTGGTCGGTGTCGGTTCCTTTTACCATTTATCCTCCTCTCTATTAGAGAAATTAGAAGTTCATGTGCGTGGCTCAGAACGTGTTCGATCACCGTTATTTTTCCGTAACATCGAAGTATCTTATTTGTGGTTGGTTCAGGTATAACATCGTATCGTACTATGGTAAAATAATCGCATATTGTGCATTATGCGTGTATATTCGTTCAATATTGTACTCTATTTTCCCGGGTTTTCTCATTTATTATGAAAACGGCCGGGAAAATGGAAAAACGATGCCTCTAAGGTACCGCCTCGGTTAGATTTCAATGTGTGTGCGATCGATGAAAACCGGAGCGAAATGGCCGGCGGAAAAGTTGTCCTCGCACGAAAAAAAAAAAAAAAAAATGAACATCATTGCGAACCCCGGTACATTCCTTGTTCCGCTCGGAATCTAAAATACTCGGCCGATAAACCCCGATTGTCGACACCTGTGCACCGCGACCCGCATCTCGGCGCGTTCAGGCCGGATCGGCCTGTACCACGTGACACCCGCGCGATGACGGTATCGTTACACGACAACGCGCACGTATTGTTGTCACGCTGGAACCGGGCCATCGGCGTGAACGGCGCAAACGCAACGACGTAAAATACTATCGTCTAACCAATTGCCGGTCGCGTAGGTATTATGCGCGCGTAATACGGTTTACAATAACATTTCTCGTTTCCGCCTCCCCGACGACGGCGACGTGGTACACCCGTGCCCATAAATAAGTCTGGCGCGAATTGTGTTTATGACTTTTACGGTCATTATATTATACCGGCATGCGGTAAAAAACACGCGGCGCGTTACGTACACGCGGACCCGCGATTATTATTATTATGACCCCGCGATATCGATATGAATACAGAGTGATATTGTCATATAGGTGCGCCTAATTGAAATCCGAGTAAACGTTCGAAACTTTGTTTAATTTCGCTTTATATTCTGAGCGGAACGAGGAGGAATGCATCGGTTTCACAGTGATGTTTATTTTTTTTTTTTTTTTTTTTTTTGTGAACGCTTTTTCTACCAGAAACCATACTCCGATTATCAAGTAAAGCACCTTTTATAATAGGTAATGTTCTCTGGGCGGTGCTACTTTCAACGGGTAATATTTTTGAAATTCTCATTAATATTCGAGATAACGAGAAAAACCTCGATATTTAGGTTTAAAAATATCGAAAGACTAAGGATAAGGTTTTCATCGGAAACCGTTTTTATTTATTTTTTGTTATTATTAAGTTTTCATTATTTAATCTTTTTTAAACAATGACTGTTGTCATGGAAACGCACATCGTTGTAATCATTTTACCATAATATGACATACTCGTATACCATATGTTGTGTTATTGACAAAGTAGCATTATCAACTGAATTCCGCTCAGAATAGTTTTTTCGCTAACAGTGGTTTATCGTTGCTTACAAATATACATTAAATTCCCGTCTGTATCCTACTTTGCCGACTTCTCACCTACAACAGTGGCTACACCCACGTGCGAAGTATGTCCGTCCATTTTTATACATTTTTTTTTTTAATTCCGTTATAATCTCGCGTACCTGTAATACTGGCGGGCGATTATATTATTTTTTTTTTTTTTGCGGACCAACAATATTCTACGTATATTTAAAAAAAATTGGTCATGGTGGGGGGAGGTTCAACTTCACGCACTTCGATATTCTAGGCGGATTACGATTTCATTTTTTTTATCGTTTTACGGAATCGAGGTTTATCCCGACATTGTTTAAAAATCCAAAGCGCGTAGATGTGTAAAACTGTGTCAAAACAAAGCAAATCAAACACATAGAATCCTCCGAGAAAATCGTCGGTATCGCGACAAAAGAATCACTCTGTATGTCGAAATAACCGCATTGATCGCGGTGCAAATAATAATACATCAATATCGCGATTTTGTTTTTCTAAAACTACCAAACTTTTATCGCGGTTCGTGTATTCGAAACAATAACGCCGGTTTAATAAATCTACGACTGTTCCACTCGGTTCGCCGGTGGCTATTGTATTATTTGGTTTTTTAATTTTCCGGAGTAAAATTATGTAACTGTCAGTAAAAAAGTCTTATTAGTTATTTCCCCTATAATATTCGTTGTGCATATTCAATTTTAATATAGACAATAATAATATTGTTGTTTAAAAACAAACAAATAAAATAAAAATCGATACTTCAAAGTTTATTAAGTAACAATACAATGAATATACATTAATAACAATACAAAAATTGGGAAGGTAGGATACATAAAGTTGTAAAGTTAATATCGGTATGCAACGATAAATAATTACTAACGAAATACGATTCTGAGCGGTGTTCCATTATTTTGGATTGACGTATTTTTTACGATTTCCGTCAAAATTTGATCGATGATACAATTACAAAATTCGAAAATTTTAAATGCGTTCAGAACAGTTCAAAAGTCGCTTTTTAACAATTTTATTTCGTCTAGCAACGTTCAATATTACTATTCTGCGGACACTTTCGGTCTCTATGAATATTTTGAACTTACAAATTACAAATTTGAAAATAACAAACTCGTATTTATTGCCTTAACGTCCTCGGTTTTCCTAAGTTTTTTTTTGGTTTTTCCATAATAATAAGAAAACTATACGGAAATTCAAAAATGACTAGGTTTTTTGACAAGAAACTTGAAAATAAGAATAAGATTTCTAATAGAAAAGTTGTTTACTGATGACGGAAATAATACAAATAATAAAAACGTATCATAGTAAAACCAATGCATTCCTAAACTGTGCTCGGAGTATTAAAAAAAAAGTTGCAAATTTATCAGACACAATACAATGACTGGGAATACACTAGGAGTATTAAAAATATGAAAATAATATAGATTTACTATACGTCTGGGTACTAAATATTTTTTTTTTACGTGACTGTGTTGTACGACTACATAGTTAAACCGTACATAAGTTGAATAATTTTATTAAATCTTTAACTTCAAACGTTAAATTTTGGTATGAGTATTCAATATAATTATTCAAATTTTTGCAAAAAAAATTTAAAAAAAAAACTTTTAAAAAAAGTTTCATTCTGAATACTCACTGTGGCAATAATATTCAACAGTTTATCAAACTTATTAAACTTTTTCAAAATATACGAGTAGGTATAGTAACCTTTCCATTCGAAATGTTAATTGCTAAATAATTGTACGAAAATGAAAAAAAAAAATCGTTATTGCCGAGTGTCAATGGATATGCGATTGTTTTCAAAGGAATCTTGGAAGGGAAAATATTATGTAGAGCAATTTAATTTGTAATACGTTTGCAACGATAAACCATCGCTAATGAAAAACGATTCTGTAGGCCAGAGTATGATAGTAATATTATTAGACGTATTTTTTTCTTTATCACCAAGAAATTAACAAAACTGATACGATAAATTGCCAGTTATTCCCATTTTTTCGAAAAAAAACTACAAAAGGATTCAAATAATATCCAAATCAATGCACCGACTGGATCAAAAATTCTGTAATAGAAGAGTTTTATACAATTTTTGATAGGAATAAGATTTACGGTAGGAAAATGTATTAATGAATACGTCATGTTATCGAAATATCGATATTTTAGGAGGGATAAATATTCGATAATATTTTGGGACCAATGTATCGAGATTGAAATCTGTTTAATATGAATCGATATCGTGATTTTTATTTGTTTTTTTTGATAGCATGATAGCAAAAATTTATCACTACCGCGGTTTCATGAAACTACTAAAACTCGATGAACATAAACGTTGTCTGAAATACGAGTAATCA